TATATATATATATATATATATATATATATATATATATATATATATATATATATAAATAAATGACCCCAAACTTATGAAATAGTATGTATTTGATTATAAAATACACTTTTTTCTTACAATGCACTTTACAAATCACCCTTTCTGTGGAATGAAGATATTTTAAAGAATGTCTCAATTGTCCATACAGTGAAAGTCAGTGGTGTCCAAAACTGAACCCCATATATTTTCACTGTATGGATTTAATAATAAAAAAAAAAAAAAAACTAAGACATTCTTCAAAACATCTCCTTTTATGGTCCACAGAAGGCAGACAGGCATACAGGTTTGGAACCACACGAGGGTGAATGATTGAAGTGATTTTTCTTTTTTTTCTCCGCTGAACTAACCCTTTAACAGAGTCCAAATATGCAGCAGGACAGCCTGTGAGATATAACAAACCTGTCTTCTTAATGTTAACAGTAGATGCTGAAGTCTCTGAACTCTGTCCAACAGTTTACTCCTTATCCGAGACCCCAGCTGCTGGAGCCGTGCCTATAAAGATTCGGTATCAATCCAGACATGAAAAACAATGTTTTACAAGGTATCTGGCAGATTTATATTATGCGAGAAACTTCATAAATCATTGCTGTCCTCACCTCAGCGGCCCACATGCATTCCCTACATCCCTTAGCTTGAAATAGCAGACTCTGATTGGCTGCTCCTACAGAAATAAGGGTAAGGGTCTCATTTTCAATGCCACAACCGCCTCGCTGAGCCTCCAGGGTAAACCAGTGATGTCCCTCCGAACAAAACGCCACTCTGATTTCATCAGACATTTCTGACGGCAAGTAGAAAGGCATACAAATGTTATTCATAAGAATATATGATAAATAATCACTTGTTACAGCAGAGTTATTAACCCTGTAAAACCTGACATATTAAATAATAGTCATAAATAAATACTCAAATAATAGTCGTAAATAAAAATCTGTATAAAAAAGTTTGCATATGAGTTTTTGTTCAGTAACACACTTGATACATCAGGCTTTTATGGCTCATAAACAATGGGGAAAAAAACATCTTATTAATATTTAGTTTTATGATCAAAGAGCTGTAGTTTTTGTTGTTGTTATATTGCATATAATCCAATGGAACACAGTGGTGATAAATGCTCCTCAAAAGCATGATGTATCATATTTGATACTCAGATTATAATATGATTTTTATAAAAGAAAAAAAAAATGTCTGGATAATCATGTAAACCTAAGCTGCTTCAATCCAGTAAGTGTTCATCTTACTAACAATATAAAAGTTATTCTTAGATTTACTTTAAAACCAAAAACTATTTCACATCAAAAAGTCATACGAAACAACCTGTGTGTTTACAATTATCCTAAAAGGCTTTTTACTTCCTAAAAATGCATAAACTATCAGTCAGATGACAGGCATGTAGTAGACTGTGTACAACAGCAAGCTTGTAATCATGCTGATAATTTCAAGGCCCTTGAAATGTGCATTTTTGCAGTTTTTTAGGGTTAACTAGCATCATCACCAGTGTTGTATCCAGCAGCAGCTCGAAGGCAGCGTTTTCCCAGCACCCCCTGCAGCCAGAGCATCTCACTGTGGTCTAGTTTTGCATGAACCTGGACCGCCACGTTCCTGCCTGAAGACAGAGAACTGCAGGCCAGTTCCACACTCCAGTTTCCTACCTGCCACTGTAAATCACACATATTTGTTTTTGTATTTTATAATTCCATTGGCTTTTTAAAGTTTTAAACTGAAAGGGTTAGTCCATTAAACTTAAAATTAGCCCATGAAGTACTCACCCTCAAGGCATCCTAGATGTATATGACTTTCTTCTTTCAGACGAATCCAGTCAGAGTTATATTAAAAATTGACTTTGATCTTCCAAGCTGTTTAAATGGCAGTCAGCGGGTGTTGCAGTTCATCAGTTCAAAAGAAGTGAAATAAAGAGCATCCATCCATAATAAAAAGTGCCTCACGCGGCTCCGGGGGGTGAACAAAGGCCTCCTCTAGCGAATCGATGCGTCTTTGTAAGACAATTAACCATGTTCAAAACGTAATAATCAATTTAATCTAGCTTGTGCTCACTGTTGTACACGGAAGCAGTTCCGGGCGGATGACGTATGAGGTTGGCGTTGCATATGCGCCGCTCAGAAGTGACGAACGCGGAAGCGCAGCGGAGAGATCAAAACAAAACAACAGTCACGAATTAGAAGTACAAAATGAGGATTTGTAAAGAAGAATGCTGCAGACCAAATTAAAGCCTGCGAGAAGCAAAACAAAATATTACAACTGAACTGAATTAAGGTTTCTTAATATAATTGTAATGATCTACCACAATTTTAAATCCTAATCATTTTATTCCTAATCCTAGTCCTCATCATATATTAACTGTAGCATTTATTTTTTATTTTTGAGGTCTTAAAAGGAAATTCATCAAAAAAAACTGTACTTATTACTTGAACAAAATATACATTTTATGTGAACTAAATGTAATATTTTCAGGCACTTAACTGCATGTCATTTACAACTAAATAAACATGTATTAGTTAAAATTTATATTAAATGCAATTACTTGAACTATAGAGTGTTTGACCCACTTATGTAGAACGTAGGTACATCTTTATGAACATCTTTTATCGTATGTTGTATTTAAATATATTGGTAATTACACATTTGTGCTTTAGAAAGTTAAAATATGTGCACTTTTTTAAAGCATGACAAAAGATTATTTAAAACACAATGATTTAAAATGTACATTAAAGCAAAAACTTTTAATTTGACATGATTACAAAGTGCATTTTTTAAAAGTGCACTCTTTAATTACACTTATATGTGGCCTTTTAAAAAAAAAAAATTTGGTTACACTTTACTTGAAGGGGTCTGCATAAGACTAACATGACACCTTCATAATCATGACATGACACATGTCATGAATATGAAGGGTTTTTATGCATGTTTATGACAACTGTCATTAAGTGTCATTCGCTCAGTTATGTCATTTTTAATGCAAAGATGACATTGAGATGTCTTTGTTATGGGCTATGGTTAGGGGTAAGGGTAGGGGTAGGGTTAGTCAAATAATGTCATATTGCATTAAAAATTACATAACTGAGCGAATGACACTTAATGACAGTTGTCATAAACATGCATAAAACCTCCTTCATATTCATGACACGTGTCATGTCATGATTATGAAGGTGTCATGTCAGTCTTATGCACACCCCTTCAAGTAAAGTGTTACCAATTTTTTTTATATAAATTAATATTATATTATCTGCAAGTACAGCTTTTTAAAGATATACTTGTAAGGTTTGTTATTATGTACAGACGTTCATGTCAACTCTAAAAAATAAATCTTTAAAACGCTGTGTAATGACAAGAACACTGAGTTTTTGTATTTGGATGAACTCTCTCTCTCTCTCTCTCTCTCTACAGTGATATGTGTGAATGTTAAAGGGGTCATGGTTGTTTTTTTTATTTATTTTGTACTGTTCTCTGAGGTCCACTTATAATGTTATCAAGATTTTTACATAAAAAAACCATCATAACATAGAAGTAATAGGCTATTTTCTGTCCTTTTTTGACCCCTCTCATTGGAACGCTCTGTCTGAATAGGTGTGGCGGATTGTCGACTCGGAAGTAAACGCCTACTGCTATGATTGGCGAACAGTTGTGTATGTTTGACAGCCTACATCCTTCATAGATGGGCGCTGCTGCGATTTAGGTTAAAAATGCATAAAAACTCAAACTGTAAATCTCAAATAATCTGTAATAACAGACAAAGCAATAGTGACCACATAATAAAAACAGTAACTCACACTTGTGCGGTGCGACATTACTGTCGGATCCAATTATATTTGGCACAGGATTTTCAGAAAGATTGAAGCTAAAAGACAATGCTGTGTTGAATTGTGCCTTGTTTGTAAATGAATCCGTGGTGAAATGAAGTGAACAAAGGACCAAGTTCTTACTGACGCGGTCTGGAACTTCATTAAAAATAAACTTCATCCACACTTTCCTAATGTTGGGTTCAGAAGGAAGACTGTTTTTCCACAGCTTTGCACTGCACTCCGTCTTGTTGTCTTCAGAGCATCTTTATCGTTTGCATAGACCTGCGTTTGCCTCTCTCGTTATTTACACTATGCACGCAAACAGGACGGGGCTAAACAAGCAGTGATGTAGAAGCAGGCGTTGATCGGGGTTTAGCCACACTATTACGTCAAAAAGTGGCACATTCCACAGCCTGTCATTTTGGCAGACTGGCTTCAATATAAGCTGTTTTTAGACTAACAAGAAAGTTTTGAGTTCTGTAACTTATAGGATGTTTTTAATAGTACACTGACCTCTTATCTGTCAAAAGATCAAGGGAAGTTTGATTTCTCAGTTCATGACCCCTTTGGGTTGTTCTATGCACATTTTCTTGTAATTTAATGAGAGCGAGTATGTGATCTCACAGGCTGTGGAGGACAGAGGCCGATCTGAACCTGGTGTTCAAGACGGTCTCTCAGGTTGGTGTGTATCTGGGTCAGAAGAGAGTGAGATGGACATGGAGACGGAGAGACGTTTTGGGCCCCCAGCTCCACGAGGAGTGTGTGCATTCCTTTTACTCCTCCCTAAACAACAGACAACAAAAAGAAAGATCATCTCAGATCCCAATATCCTAAATAAAGGCAAGTTTTCAATTCCTTAAATAATCCACACCTGGTATTTCATGCTTTGTGCTATCCTCTTATCCTTCCATTTGAGCTCTGTGTTTTGGGAGTAGGCCTTCCCCTCCTGAGCTACAGCAACACATCCCTCCATCTCCACTAGGGGGAGCAACGACTGTATCTGACAGATACACACACACAAAAAACAATGCAGAGATATACTGTCTGGGGCACAGCATACAGTAGTTCATTTTTTATATACACTATCGTTCAAAAGTTTGAAGTCAGTATGATTAAAAAAATTACATAATACTTTTTTTAGCAAGGATGTATTAAATCGCAGGTGACATGCATTTATCATGTTACAAATGATTTCTATTTCAAGTAAATGCTGTTGTTATGAATTAATAAAAAAAGGATAAAAATCTATCATGGTTTCTTCAAAAATATTATGTTTTTAAACATTGATGATGATGATGATGATGACGATGATAATAATAATTCACTTCACGTGACCCTGAAGACTGGAGTAATGATGCTGAAAATTCAGCTTTACCATCACATAAATAAATTACATTCTAAAATATATAAAAAATATGATTTTAGATTGTAATAACATTATACAATATGACTGTTTTTACTATAATTTTAATCATATCAATGCAGCCTTGGTGAGCAAAAGAAACTATAAATACAAACCTCTTGTATTTTTAACGGTACTGTATGTAAGTCAGCTGGACATTATTGCAAAATAAACCTTGACAGGGTGAACAGGATCTTGATCAGACCTTTAATGCCCCTGAAGGGGTTCATTTTGTGATAATGACTGTACATTATCCTAATTATAACATGGCTACTTAGAAAATTAAGTTATTCTATGTAATAAAAGTGCTTGTAAAATGAAAGTTGTTAGTGCTGTGGTGTACCTGTCCTGGTGAGAGAAAGATACAGGCCTGCCCTCTGCTGGAGCCATCATGCCAGTGCTCGCTCACTGTTACAGAAACATTTACAGGCTTTCCGTGCTCCCAGGAAAGAGGGGCCTATAGAAACACAGCACTTGTATTACATAGATTTCACATGTTCGATCTTAAAGGGATGGTTCACCCAAAAATGAAAATTACCCCATGATTTACTCAACCTCAAGCCATCCTAGGTGTATACGACTTTTGTCTTTCAGACAAACACAATCGGCATTATATATATATATATAAAAAAAAAATATCCTGGCTCTTTTTAAGTTTTATAATGATAAAGATTTTGAAGCAAAATAAAGTGCATCCATCCATCATAAAAAAGTACTCCACACGGCTCCGAGGGGTTAATAAAGGACTTCTGAAGTGAAAAATATCCATATTTAAAACTTTATAGAGTTTTAAAGATTACAGTTTATAAAGTTTTAAAAATGCATTTTTTCTTACACAAATGCATTGCTTCACTTCAGAAGGCCTTTATTAACCGGATTTAATGTAACCCGGAGTCGTGTGGAGTACTTTTTATAATGTATGTGCAGTGTAACCCCTCTCCCCCGGGTCCTCTCCGCTCAGTCGCTAATGCGTCTCTTGAGATCAGGGGAGTGAGGTTTACCTGCACTGCACCTACTCGCTGGTCTCCGTTACACTCACCCCCTAAACCTCACTCACATCCGGGTCACGGCACCAATGTAACACCTCTCCCCCGGGTCCTCTCCGCCACACCTCGTTCTCATTCCGAGTGGGTCTCGAACCCGGGTCGCCGGCATGGGAGGCAGACGCACTAACAAGGAGGCTAAACCTGCACAGCACCTACCACCGGCAAAATCTGGACCCCCATTCACTGCCTTTATAAAGCTTGGACGAGCCAGGACATTTTTTAATATAACTCCGACTGTAATCGTCTGAAAGAAGAAAGGCATCTAGGATGGCTTGAGGGTGAGTAAATCATGGGGTAATTTTCATTTTTGGGTGAACTGTCCCTTTAACAATTATAAGAAAGGAAGTGCAGCCTAGAGAGTGTGGCAAGTATTTGAAAATGGAGAGATGCATTAGAAACGGGATTTGTATGGAGGGAAAGTACTTGAGAAACAGAAGAGTATTTGAGAGTATTGGGAATATTTGCTTTGAAAGTGTGGAGATTATTTGAGGTTATAGAGATTGTTTGAGAATGGCAGCTGTGCACCTGGTTGTTGCTGTCGTGCCTGTGGTCGGGTCCGTGTGATAGGGCTTGCATTTGAAAGTGAGCCAGTGTTGAGATAAAGGGTTGTTTCTGTTCGAATGAATCTGTTTTTCCACTCACCAAAGTCCAAGAGCCTTGAACTCTGACCTGAACACAACACACAAGAGACTTATATCTGGTCAATGTAACAACAAAGGACCAAACCACAACAGAACCGCCAAAAACCTCTGTCTGGCTTCACCTGATCATGGTGTCCATACAGAGTCCAGTCGACACTCAGGTCACCTAGTTTCCTCTGAGTGTCATTCTCTACCCTAAGAGCAAAACCCCAACCATGAGTCTTTCCTATAATAAGAGAGACATGTGAGCATTTCAGAATACAGTGTTGATGATAATACAACCGACGCAGTGTGTGACCAGATCAGCAATGTGGCATATCCACCTGACAGTTCTGGATAAATTTGTAACTGGGTGACACCATCTGAGGAGTCGGTTAAATCCTGATTCTCCCACTGTGCTCGATGCGTGAGGGTGTGTGACCCTCTCTTTCCACCGTAGTGTGTCCTCAATGCCAGATTCCTGGGCAACAAGTGTAGCTAGTGGAACAGAAATAACACATTATTCAAAATGTAATGTAACACAACAAAAAGTATCATGCTTCATGTAATGTTAAGGTGCGGTCACATTAGCAAAACTTGCAGTGCAGTGATGCATGAAGCACCACTTATTCAGGTGGTCACTTTCAAGCAGCTTTGGTCAACATGCAAAATTGCATGTTTAACAAAATGGGAAAATTTCTCACCTCACATGAAATTCCATATTGCACAGATTTAAATTGAGATGACTGCATTTTGCATGCAATTTTTTACAATTTTTTTTTACAATTTTTACTTATAAATTGTAGTCCGTTACAGATTCCAAATTACATGACAAAAATTGTAGTCAGTAACATAATACATTACGTTGTACATTTTAGGTAATATAATTGGACTACGTATTTTAGATTACTTCTGACCTAACTCTAAAGAAAGAAAATCTATTCTATTCAGCATGAAGTGCATTGAACATTACATTATGTCAAGGTTTCCCACACTGGGGTTTGTGAAGGAACTGCAGAGGGTAAAGTGTTTTTTTTTTAATGAAAAGCTAATAAATGAAATAAAAATTGTAAAATTAAAATAAATAATTGTATCATTAAAATAAACACTCACTAAAAAAGGTTAAATATTTTATGTGTTTACCTGCATGTAATGTGGCCATAAACTAATATCAGAGAACCATGAACATGATAAATGTGTTAATTAGTTATTCACTTGTTACCTTAAAATCTCAGGGGGTATTTTAATAAATATATTATTTGAATAAGGTTCAGCTGACAAAAAAATCCCTGCACTACATGTAAATAAGAAATAATGTGAATTTGTACATTTTAATGTAATTGTAATATGTAATCAAGTAATCAATAAAAAAGTAACTGTAGTCTGATTACAAGTATTTTAAAATGTAATATAATCTAATTACAAGTACTTAATTTTTTGAATATGATTATGTAATCCAGATTACATTAATCAGTTACTACCCAGCACTGCAAATGAGTAAAATTTCTGCTAAATTTTTGTGGTCAACAAGGTCCATTGTTCGTTGTCAATGGTGTCGTGAAAAAAAATATATATATTTGAGTGACCAATTTGAACCCAATGTGAAAACTGCATGGGGAAATTTTTTGCCCTCACTCGAAATTCCAGATCGTTTGGATTCCTTTTGAAATGACTGGATTTCGCTGAAAATCGGTAAACGAGATTGTACCTTTACAAGGAGATATAATATTAGGACTGACAGATAATTCCACTACCTGAGGTATTGAGTGATTGAACATCAGCACTTGTTTAAAGCCAGAGTTTGTACTCGAGATCTCTGCTTCAAAAGCCAAACCGCTCACACCGACCAGAAGTTCTGCAGTAACTTTAACTGAAGAGCTTGCGTGGCTCAACTGTAAGGGAACAACATGTAAGGCATTTTTACATAAAAAGGAATAAAATGCAAAACAAAATTTTTTTGAGATGCTAACTGAAAGCCAATTTGGGAAATGTGCATAATGTGCATAATGAGGTCATGTGACAACAATCTAGCATACTTAAATATGTATTCAATACTTCGGTGCTAAGTTCAGTTTTATTTCACATTAAGAAGTAAATTGTGCACCCTCAAGTGAAATGAAAACTGTACTCAAAATTATTTCTTATGAAAAGTGTTTTTATATATGTTATGTATATTGTGCGGGTCCCCCCCCACTCAGTGTCAGTGTTGTGAAGGTTACTTTGGAAATGTAATAGTTTACAAATTACAAGTTACCCAATTTAAAATGTAATAAGTAATGTAACTATTTCAATTACTTTATTAATGTAACTGGTTATATTTGATTACTTATCTAAAATTTCTAATGAATGTTTTCAACTGTTAATCATCTTCAAACAGGAAGGGTTAACCTTACAGTAGTACTCAACACTGATCATTGTCAAACTTGAATTAAGTTTGATTCTAAAAATTTAATTTTAAAGCACAGCCACCACAAAATCAGACTTTAGCACCTTTTTTTACTTTGAGATCGTTCTGAGGTTAAATACAGATTTAAAATCATAACAAGAAATAGTTCAATAGCTATGATACTGTTTTTTAAATCAAATCTTTGCATAGCTATGACAAACCCAGCAATTGGGTTGTTTTGACCCACCCAATTGCTGGGTTTGTCCCTATTTTACCCGGCACTGGGTTGTATTTAACCCAGCATTTTTTAGAGTGTGGCATCTAACGATGCTTTGGAAAGAACTGTTAAACTTTTAAACCCAAGTAGGAAATAAAAAAGTTATTGAATAAGCATGTGTCCTATTCGGTATCCTAAACTCCTGAAA